ACTTTTATCAATCACCAAATGAGGTTAACTCTTCGATTGGGACGGGTCAAAAGTTGACCGGTCACTTCCACTAAAAAAGTGACCGGTCACATTTTGGGCGATAGCCAAAATGTCGCCTAATGTTACAAAGGACATTCTAGAAGACCAGAGACGGGTTGAGCACAAAGAATGACCGGGTAACTTTTGAGAGAAGGTGACCGGTCATATCACTTTACTTGGCTAACATTGGTTCAGTTTCTTAGGCATGGTGAACCACGTCAGAGGTCAAGGGGACACCCCGCCGCTCATCCATCACGAGGCACACAGTGAAAGGGATGTTTGTCATTTTGCAGGGTTGATTGGATTGAGAATATCCATTTTAGTCTTTGATTGAACAGTACATGTCTTGGCTTATAATTGCTAAATTCTATGATTGTACAGTGTTCCCATTATCTACAGTGACCTTCCCACGAGCTTCCTATTTTGTCCAAGGATGAACAGGGGAAGGTCACAAATCCTCCTCTATAAATATGATGATATTGGATAGAGGAGGGGATCCAATTTTTCTCTCACTAAAGTTCACTCTTGAGATAGAGTAAGAAATATAATTCGGACTGAGGAGATTTACTCGGTCTAGGTCATACTTTGTGTTCTTATTGTGTGTTTTATATTACGGGTCGAGTGTGTTCAGGTCAAACCCGGTTAACCCACCCCGCTATATTTACACCATCAATCTTATTAGAAGAAAATTTGATATAATATGAATGAAATTATAATTAAACGATGTGATCTAGTTTCAATAAAACCAAGTAATAAATAAAAAATAGAGAAGAACGTAACCTCACCCGTCTTGCATAAAAATAAGAAAGTTAGTTGGTGGATGCATATGCAATTGATTGATATGATTGATGGAGCAACATACGGAGTATATTAATATCCTTCGCAGCTTTTGCGATTAAATTTAAACCTAAAAAAACATTATCTATTGAATTTATAAATATTTTCTCCTAAATGATTTATATGTACTCTATCTTGTAGTCTTCTGAGTAGTATTACTAATTTAATTTATACCTCTAATCATTTGTATTTTATATGATGGTTATGTCATTCATGAGATGATTGGATATGGGGAGTGTAGTTTAAGAGGCAAATTAAAGATCATATATGATCAAACATTAATTGATATGTACATTAATCACTAGACATTTAATACATGCATGACCTTTAATTTATTGCAATTCAATTAAACCATTGGCAATGACAATATGATATAAAATGTCACACGGTGACATAGAATATTTTAACTAATAAAAAATAATTCAGTCACTAAATGATAAATGAGTGAAGTGTCGTAATATACAGTAGCAAGTCTTTATTTTTGTCTATTTTTACACTTTATATGATTTTTAATTATAAAAAATTATTTTACACATCTATTTTATTATTAAAATATGTCTATTTTTTAAAAATATTTCTTTTTAAAAATTTAAAAAAAAATCGGAGAGTCATGCCTTGCATGTGGAATAAAAAGTGGGATGGAATGACTATGAAATGCCATGATTTGGATGATATTTGCTGACATGGCTAGACAAGACAAGACATTACCTTGCCATTGTGAATGTCCTTAGGTTCAAATTTTTACCTTGCCATTTTTTTATGTTTTTTTTAATTCTTGAATTTTTTTATTTTATTTATTTTTCTATCCAAACCATTCATTAGTTTGTTGGTTTAATTTTTTTTTCTTTTCCGTTTAATCCGTTTATTGTTTTTTTAGTTCTTATAAAACATTATTTTTTGAGTGCTATAACAACTTCAAAAAAGAAAAAGTAAACTTTTTTTGTGCATATTTCTTTCTTTAACTTTTTCATAGGAAAAAAACATAAACTAATTTAATAGGAAAAATTATAAATAAGACATAATTTATACTTAAAACATGTTTCAATCCAAATAATAATTATAATAGAACATTCGATTAATAAGTGTTGGCGCCCAACTAGGTAGAAAACACTACATTTTGTTGTATGCAGTAGCAGATAGGGATAATAATTTGGTAGTGTTTATCGTTAGTATTTTCAAAGTAATCTGCACCATTAAAATTTTATTAAAAATGCTAACGCTAGTCTCTAACGTTATTCCCAAACATGCCCAAATAAGAGTCAATATGTCGATTTAATAAAAACATTAGAGATAATAATTTACTTTATTCATAAAGGATGAACCTCATCCCCGAAGGTCCCCTCAGATCCGATCGGAAGATCATTGAGAGAAGGTAAATTGGACTTTAATTGCAGATTGGTGGCAAAGAATGAAACCTACATCTAGTACTTGCAGAGGCCCTGTGCTTAGTATAGTTGACTCCCTGCGCAGTTGCGAGAAATCGAATTCTGGTCTTACCCCCTTGACACTCCTTGAGAGACAATTTCCATCTAGCTCCCATGAATTTAATTACCCTTATGTCTCAAATTGTTGTCATTTTTTGACCTTTTGTACTTAATAATAACAACATTTGTCCTATAATTAAATCAAAATTATATGGTTTATGAATTAATTAAATTAATATTTGATAATATTTAGCAATCTAAATTTAATTAAGATTATTTTCATATCAATATCTACTATCCAATTTAATTAATTTATTGTTAAAATTTATATATTTTAACTGCAAATATTTAGGCCCCGTTTGGCATCAGCGTCAGAGATTAGCGTTAGCGTTTTGAAAAAGCTATCCGACGGTAGCCTTTAGCGTTAGCGTTTTCAGAATTAATTTGCACCGTTAAAATTTTATCCAAAACGCTAACGCTAATCGAAAACGTTGTTACCAAAGAAAGCCTTAAAAAATGAATAAACACTTTGGGAGGTATTTCAGTATTTGGGTCTTGGGAGTTGGGAAGCACAAGATTTCTATAAATAGCCCAAAATACACTGCCGAGACATCCGCAGCACGCACATCAATAAGTAACCAAGCATCACATTTATTGTCTGCCCTTTCAGTCAATTTAAGTCAATGTCTATTATTCCACCGTTGGTATTCCCCGCCGCCCTGTTCTTCCTCTGCCTACTCCGCCGATCATTCGGCGACTCCGGCGGCGGCTGGCAGAGCGCCCACGCCACATTCTACGGCGGCGGAGACGCCGCGGGGACAATGGGAGGGGCCTGCGGCTACGGGAACCTGCACAGCACCGGGTACGGGACGGACACAGCCGCGCTCAGCTCTGCCCTCTTCAACAACGGCTTGAGATGTGGCTCCTGCTACCAGCTCAAGTGCGACGCCGCCGCCGGAAAGTCGTGCCTCCCCGGGACAACCACCGTGACGGCGACGAACTTCTGCCCGCCGAACCCCGGGCTGCCCAACAACGGCGGCGGGTGGTGCAATCCTCCCCTGCAACACTTCGATCTGGCCCAGCCCGCCTTCTTGCATATCGCTCAATACCACGCCGGAATCGTTCCTGTTTCTTTCCGACGGTGAGTCCCCTCCTCCACAAGTCAACCAATCTTTTCTATTTTGATTTTTTTAGTCAAATGTATTTATTTTACTACTACTTCCCGTTTTCAAAAAATCTTCCTCTTTCATTTTTTTACTTCCAACGAAACACTTCCACTTTCTATTAAAAAATCACTTTTACCCTTACTTTTTCACACCCATACCTTTCACATCATACTTTTTCTCCAATACTCAATCCATCACATCTTACTTTTACCCATCACATCAAGGCAAAATTGGAAGTCAACTACAATTTAACACTTCCTTATTTTTATAAAAAGTCAAGGAACACTTTTAAAAACGGAGGGAGTATATAATTTTGATATCTTTTCTATTTTAAAATTTAATAAAAACAAGAAAGATGGTTAGGATCGAAAAGAGTATATCTTAACATAACTTAATTATTCCCTCCCATTCTAAAAATGTGAGAGTTATTAATTTTTAGGAGATTTAAGAAAAATGTATTTTGTTATTGAATTTCAAAAACAACATTTGATGTGTTGGCTAAAATAAGGATTTGATGAGTAGATTATTAATAAAAAAGTATAAAATGTATAATTTTGATATCTTTTCTGTTTTAAAATTTAATAAAAACAAGAAAGATTGTTAGCATCGAAAAGAGTATATCTTAACATAACTTAATTATTCCCTCCGATCCTAAAAATGTGAGAGTTATTGATTTTTAGGAGATTTAAGGAAAATGTATTTTGTTATTGAATTTCAAAAACGTCATTTGATGTGTTGGCTAAAATTAAGATTTGATGAGTATATTATTAATAAAAGAGTATAAAATGTATAATTTTGATATCTTTTCTGTTTTAAAATTTAATAAAAACAAGAAAGATTGTTAGGATCGAAAAGAGTATATCTTAACATAACTTAATTATTCCCTCCGATCCTAAAAATGTGATAGTTATTGATTTTTAAGAGATTTAAGGAAAATGTATTTTGTTATTGAATTTCAAAAACGTCATTTGATGTGTTGACTAAAATTAGGATTTGATGAGTAGATTAGTAATAAAAAAAGTATAGTATGATGTGATAAGTAAGATATGAAAAAGTAAGTGTAAAAGTAACTTTTAATATAAATAAGAAGTGTTTGTTGGACAAATTAAAAAGAAATTGAGAAAGGTTTTCGAGGAAATATATTAAATTTACATCATAATTAAATCTATTTTTTCATAAGTTGTGATCAAAGATTTTGAGTAACACTAGTTTTCGATATGGTTCACAGAGTACCTTGCAAGAGGCCTGGGGGGATAAGGTTCACCATCAACGGCCACGCCTTCTTCAACCTGGTGCTGGTGACAAATGTGGGCGGCGCCGGCGACGCTCAGTCGGTAGAAATCAAGGGTTCCGCCTCGGGGTGGCAGCCGATGAGTCGGAACTGGGGCCAGAATTGGCAGAGCCACTCCAATCTCAACGGCCAGAGTCTCTCCTTCCGGGTCACCGCAGGCGACGGCCGGACGGTCACCAGCAACAATGTGGCTCCGGCGAACTGGCAATTTGGTCGGACTTATGAAGGGACTCAATTCTAAGTTCTAACAAGTTAAAAAAAACAATGTTTTATTCACCTTAATGTAACAATTGTGATTGGTTAGAAAATGCTTCTATAATTATTACACCGGAGCATTTTTTCTACTCCGTATCTTTTAAATAATTGTTAATTTTGATTTTTTAAATATGTTAAAAATTAAATATATGTGGATAAAAAAATACATTTGCCACATCCGATTTAATTTTTTATATAAGTTAAAAATCATAATAAAAATTATTTAAATACGAAATGAGAAATTAATTTAATAGACATCATGTATATAATGATTGTTCTCTTACATTGGTGGTGAATAAAAGTGTTGGAATGAAATGACTTGTCTATTCATGTGTTCTACCAAAGATGCGATCGTGTAGAGAAATTTGCCTAAATAGGACTAAAACATAATGATTTCCCAATATAGGACCATATGTTTTATTTCCCAATGTAGGACCTTTGGTCATTATCAAGTAGTCATTATTCAATTAAATGTCCATCGTTACTGGACATTATTCCTTCCACTAGGTCATTAATAAGTCCTATTTAGGGAATAAAAAAGTTTAAGTCCTACATTAGGAAAGTCATTATGTTTTAGTCCTATTTAGTGCAAATTTCACATAAATGTATCATGTATAAACATCATTTTATCGTTATTTCATCTAAATAAAATAATTTTCTTTTTTATTTATGAGTTAGGGTTCTTTGCCTATAATATTAGACGTTCTTGCTATTATTTTCAAAATGTGATCTAAGTATCTAACAAGTAAAAATAGGGTTTAGTTTTAGATTTTTTTACTAAGTTCAAATGTTGATTCTAACGTCTATCATGTGCACATTTTAACTTAAAGGAAAATATCATTTACTTAGCTTCATACTTCGAATAAGATTAGCCATGGTGTTTTTGAGGGGATACCGGTTAATAAAGAAAATGAAGATTTTTTCATAAATTTGTCCGTCGAGCAATCAACTGTTTACATTCAAGCGGATAAGATTGACCCCATGGTTGACATTAAGTTAACTAAGGTGAACCATTTACTTATAAATATGAAACATTCTTTTTGCAACGGTATAACCCCTCCTGGATATATTGAATCACTCCAACAGGAATTGAACAATGTACCTGCAGAATTACAAGCTATGAAGCTTGAACATATGTATCAACGTGAATTAACAAGTTTGTATAATTATTATCAGTCTCAAGGTTACTCAAACCCGCTTGAGCAATGTGCGAAATATCTAAATTATTGTGCAGATAACTATGATCGATGGATTCGATGCATTACAAATTATCTCATTTGGACTTAAGAAAAAATGACTTTATTTCTAAAAATTGATAGAAGAATAATTTTGTAAAATTTATTTTACAAAATATTCTTTTATATTATTAATAAATAATGTAATATATATGGGGACAAATAAGAAGTATTAAGGCTAGGGCTGGACACGGTACCGGTTCGGTACCGTCACCGGAAACGGTACTGCCGGTACCGAGCACCGTAACGGCAACCGGGACGGCGAAACGGTTCCGAGAACCGACACCGGTATCGCCACATCCGGTCTCGGTTCCGGTGCCCCAAAATCGTTACCGGCACCGCCGGTACCGGTGCCGGTTCCGGTACCGGTTTTATTTTTTATTTTTTTTTCTCCTTTTTGCTCTCCAACGGTAACCTGCAAAAAAAAAACAAAGTTAGTGGGGGTGGGTGCGGCCAAAACGGCTAATTGGCCGTGGGGAGGGGGGAGAGGGGGTTATTTTTTTTATAAATACCCATTTTTTCTTCTAAATTCTAAAAAAATCACACTCATCAATCCATATCCATCTCTCTTACTCTCTAATCTCTATTCTCTCATTCTCTCAAATTTCAATATCTCAATCTATCATTTTAATTTCTCAATCTTAATATCTTATTATCTCTTTTATACATTTTTTTAAATATATTATATTTTAATATAAAAAATTTCGAAATTATTTGAAATTTTCGAAATTTAATATTTCTTTAATATCAAAAAATATATAATATATATTTTAAATATATTCTCTATTTTTTTTTGAAATTTTCAAAATTTTTATATATAAAATTTCGAATTTTTTTTAAAGTTTCGAAATTTAATATATTATTTTTTTATATCAATATATATATATATATATATATATATATATA